GAAAAATGTAGTTAAAATAGTAAATATAAAGTGCTTGGTGCAGTCCAGTTTACCCACCTAGAACAGACTCCAAATATGCATAAATAGGATAAGAGAAGAGTAAGATTCCGCAAGGAGAGATTATCTTCTTTATTGTACTCGTCCTGGGAAGAAATATATGGAGATTACAACTATTATAATCTCTAAAATACTAATGAGAGTAAAAGGTGGTCTGGAGAAGAAACTAGAACTGAAAAGGGAAACTAATCAAAAACACATTAGCAAATTGGTTTTTACTTTTTAATTTATTTGTTTGCAATCTATACCTCAAAGCATTTAGCAAAGGAAGCCATAAACTTTGCACTGAAGTCAACACCAACCAAACATGCCATCCCAGCAACAAATGCAGCAAAAACAGCAGCATACCTTCACAAGAAAAAATGTCAGTTACAATGAACTTGAAGCCAGGAACAGCCACCAGGAAAAATTACAGGAGTTGGGATTGTCATGGGAAACAGCAGTGTTTAATGGAGGATCAAGGAGGAAGAATCTAACATATACAATACTTTCTAAGTCACTGTACATTCTTTACAAAAATAACAATGGCCTCAACCTGGATACCCAAGATTAATTTTCTAGCCTACACAGAGTACTACACAAGAGTATCTAATCAAATCTAAGACAATGTCGTCAACAAGCTTTCTCAACCATGTTTTCCCTTCTCATCAGGACAAAGAATATCCTCAGCCTCTTCCTTCACTCAGTGAAGTTCATTGAGGGAGGTACTAGTAAAAAAGAAAGGCACAAATCTTAACTGTTGATTGCCACGGGGACCACCAGAACATGATGCCAAAACTTCCTCGGTCAAGATCTGTGAAGCAACACTACGAGGAACAGACTGCAACAGATTACCTCATAGAAGTTAAGTAACTATCAAAACTCCATAGGAACAAAGCTGCATTTGTTTTAAAGAAGCAACTAGTCTTATAGAACATCAGTAACATAGGCATATAAAGAATGAAAGTAGGCATATATAAGTGTGCATGTTGAGTGCACAAGTCAAGTTGTTGGAGTGTAAAATATCTTTTGAATATTCATTGCACAAGCAGTTACCATTAGTTAATATGATCCTATATGATTCATTCTATAGCAAAACAGTAGGGAAAAAGTAGCAGCACAAATGATTTTACAAAAGATCACCCATTTTTCATGTGGGAGAAGATGATCAAGATTTTTCAGAAATAAAAAAGAAAAATACGAAACTTGGTCTAATTTATCAAAGTTATCAATCTATGCCCTAAAGGGATTTCAAACTCCATTGCTAGAGTTTGCAAAAGGCATGGCGGTTTACTTCCAAACTAATTCAAACTTGACATGGCAAACTAGGTCAAATTCCTTCTGTAAGATTAGTCACTTTATCTTTAGAAATGGGTAACAGATGATACAAAAAGGCATCCTCTTTTCATTTAGAAAACATTAAATGCAAAATTAATAGGAATAAAAAGGGAAAAAAAAAAAGACTATTCTTTTAAGACTTCCTAGTATAATTTGCATTCTCTCTCTCAACTCTTCTTTTATCCATTTTAAAACAAAATCATATATATTTTGTTAAAGAAATCAAACAAGCATTCATTTTCAAGACTACTATATGCCTATGAGTAACATACCTGAAAGATAAGGGACAATTCCCCAGTTACTGACTCAACATTAGATTCAGAAAGCCTGTTAAGAAGACCTGAAGAAGCAAGTTCAAGAAAAATTAAAATAATCAATGATAAGTAGCTAGAAGTGCAAAATTCAAAACAAGTTCCACCTCCCTACCTCGCACACGTCTTCGAATTTGAGTATGCTCTTCAGGTTCACTGCCAGCACGAGCCCTCAAGTGAGGCGCTATATATTTTTCTTTGGCTCTCTTATCTGAAACTTCAGCAGGAGCATCCCCCAATTTTCCCTCCATTCCACAAGATTCCACAGGCTTGGACATGCCAACAGCATCATCCCCCACATTGTTTCCCTGCTGTTGACCTGACAATTTCCTTTTCTTATGCTTCTTCCTTGAAGGCATACTGTCAGGAACATCATCCGATTCTACATCTTCATCAGAAGTTTCTACATGCCCTGATATATCATCCATTGCTTCCGCTTTCAATCTTTTCTTTGACAACTTGTCCTTCTCACTTGACGAGCTCTTCTTCCATCTCGTCACAGGCAATTCACCAATACCATGAACCTCCCCCTCTCCCATGAAATCAAAAGAAGACGACATTCCTCCAAGTAATATGTTAAGCCCATCATCCATTCCCCTCAATTTTCCTTCCTTCACCTTAAGCTTTTTGGAAAGCTTCCTTTCCAGTTCTAGGTCCTTTTCAGCAGCTATAGAAACATGCTGCATGCCCATCTCCAACATGCTCTTCCTGGAACTTTTACTAGGAGCCTTCTTCATTTTCTTCTTTTTCTTTGCAACAGAACCATCTTGTTCTTCCTCTGACTCTATGTACTCTTCATCTATCTCATGTTTCCAAGAGTAAGACTGTAACTTCTCAGCTTGTGTTTCATTGATACTAGAACTAACTGATGTTTCGGATTTGCTTTTAGTTTCCATCTCTGAATGATTGCCATGGTTTTTCATAGCTCGAGATTTCTATAAAACAATAATATTCTCATTGTTCTAGTAACTAAACAAGACATAAAAGTGAATAAGAAAAAACATTGATACGATAGAGTTACCTGGTGGAGGAGCCAGGATTGGTGTTTTGATACATTTTTTGCCAAGCGGGATTCTTTCCTTCGCTCCCGACGTGATTTTTCTGCGGTTTGTTTATCTGAAACGTAGTTTGTTTTAAAAAATAAAATAAAATTGAAGTTTCTAAGAATTAAATGGAAAAGTTAAAAATAAGAAATTTTCAGAGGTTTTAAGGAAAGAAAGTTACCCATGGTTTGCTTCGGAAGTGAAGTTGAGAAAAGGTTGTGTAGAAGCGTGGTGGCGCAGCGGGTGTATGGCGCCGGGGCGGACGGAGAACGGCGAAGAACGACTCTGAGAGAGACGATTATTGGTGGGTTTGAAATTTGGGCAATAGGTCACTTCATTGGGCTCAGAATTCAAAGCCCGATATGGCCCATGTAATTTTCTTTTGGCCCTTTATCATCTATTAAGCAATTCAGAAAATATAAAAACAATATTTTTAAAATATTTTCTTATTATATCTCTATATTTACTATAAAAGATAATATTATCTTAAACTAGAGAATTTTGAATTGACAAATCCGATAAACTTCATATTAATAAATTCGAAAACGTATAATTTGTTTTTTAATGTAAACTTTCAAATGATTGAATCATGAAATTTTTGGATAAATGGATTCATAATACTTACCTTCGATTGCATAATCAAGTAAGATCTGAGATGCTTCGATTGAAATTCAATTCAATTGCATTTCATTTGGAATTGCTTCAATTACAAATTTAAAATAATAATAATATTTAAAAGAAATATTATTATTAAAATAATAGTAATAATGATAAAATATTAATAATTATAATAGATAATAATAATAGTAATATTATCTTTATTACTATTTTATTTTTATTATTTTATTTTATTGTTACTATTATTATCTTTATTATTTTATTACTATTACTATTGTTAATAATAGGTAATAATATCCAAGTAACAATTTTCTATATTGAAAAACTTCCTTACGACAATATTCTACTTCACATTTATAAGATTATTATCAAATTTTTAATAGAAAATAATTACAACTCATTAAATATCAATTATTTAATATTTTTTATAAAGAATTAAAATATTAAAAATGATTTATCATACCTTATTATTATAAAAATAAGAAACACATAATCTAAAAAGTTGGATTATTATTTATTGTTATAATATTTTGTTACGATCGTTGTAAATTTGATGTAAGTGTGGAGGTAAAAACGACAGCGCAGAAAGCTGGCCGCCGGAACAAATATGTCTTGGAATAATGTATCCGTCCCCCTCCTTCCAAATGACAGACATCTACAACTCACCCTTTCTAACACAAACAAAACAGATAATTAATTCACATCACAAAACATTCAATATACAATAAACAAAACTTATATTATAATAATAATATTTATTAATATTTTATTAATACAAAATTTTTCAACAAATGAAATGATATATAAACACCACTGTCTCTTTTAAACATTCCATTAACAACTCAATAATAGCAATAAATACGAAAATATAAATTTTTATTATTACAAAATTAATAAAAACAGTTGTGAATCTATCATTTATCAATAAATATACAACGTTATATTTCAAACACTTTTTCTTCTAAAACAATTGATGTTTTAATATTTAAAATCTAACTATTGTTTTTTCTCAAATACACCACTATTAAATATCCATCATTTTCTAAAAGATGAGAGAGATAAAATACAAAATAAAAAAATTATTAAATAAGGAGTAAGAATTGAAAAAATATAATAATTTAAAATAAATGAAAAAGTGCGTTTGTTTTAATGAGATATTTGGTAAGTATATCTATACGAGGGTGATATTTTCACAATTTGAAACAACTTATTTTTATTAATATAATAATTTATCAAATGATCGTAAAATTATTATTATAATATTAAAAAAGAATTATTTATAGAAATTGTATAGATTTGAGTCGTGAAATATCTTTTTCTATTTATATCCATATTGAAAGAATAATTTCTTTTCGTACTACTAAAATTTACAACATGTAAGTCCAAAAAAAGTTGTATCTCTAATGGAGGGTAAAAGCCGGCCAGATCCGGTACCTCTAACAATTTCTTCGATGCACGTCGATATAATCAACACATGACAAGTCCTATATATAACCCTCGTTGAATTTCAAATTGGTGTGAGCCATAACATTTGCATAGAGACATTGTTAGCACCTGCGCAACTTGCTCTCTATTTTTTTTAACTCAAATGGCTTCTTCTTCACCTCGCCTTGCCTTCTTCGCCATTTCTGTGGTTCTCCTTTCCTCAGTGGCCATGGCAACTGATTTTGTCGTGGGTGATGACAAGGGTTGGACTCTTGATTTCAACTACACAGCGTGGGCAGAGGGCAAAGTTTTCCGCGTCGGCGACAACCTTCGTATGTTCCAAAACCCTTTCTAGTTATTGTCTGAATTTGAATCCTCTTTCTCAAACATGTCACTGTGAATGAATGTTCTTGTCTTATCTGTGCTTAATTATGCATGGCAGTGTTCAACTACGACAAAGCCAGCCACAACGTGCTGAAAGTGAACGGAACACAGTTCCAGGGGTGCAATTTCACGGCGGATAACGACTTACTCTCCAGCGGAAAGGACAGCATCACGCTGAAAGCCGAAGGGAGGAAGTGGTACATTTGCGGCAAAGGCAACCACTGCGCCAACCATCAAATGAAGCTCGTCATCAATGTCGAAGCTGCGGCTCCCACATCCGCACCCGCACCCACTTCTTCTGCTCCTTCTCGCATCGCTTCACTCTCTGGGGCACTCATTGTTGCCATAGCAGCCATCTTTGGCTGATATCAACATCCATCGCTTCTCTACTCTTTATGTTTTACTTGGTTGTTGAATGCGTTATCATGATTGTTTTTCTTGTAAGTTCGACTTAATAATATGTCTAATTTGATTTGGACCGCAAGTTAAATGTTTTGGTGATAAAGAAATCTTTCTATATATTTAAAACTTATACTAAGGAAGGATATTGTGACCTGTAAGTTTTGTTCTTATTACTTTTCATTTCTTTTCAATGATTATCAGGAAATTTTACACACACAATCAAAATATTCATTTTTGTGTTCTTCAGGAAAAAAACTGTTCCAAAAAAGAAGAAAACAATTATTTTATAAGTGATCGTATGTACTTTAGGATTTCAATTTCAACAAATAAAAATAAAATATTTATTCGTATTCAATTTGAATAATTTTGATATCCTAAAAGTAAATTAAATTATTTTTGTAGTGAATTAATTTAAATTTATTTTTGGAATAAAAGACGTAATTAAATCAATACTGTTCTAGTTGTGAAAATACGAAGCAGCTTGAGCCATGAGGCTTTTGCTTACGTCTGATATGTAACTTGCTACAACCAATATGAGAAGCATAACCAGCATGAATTTGAGGGCAACATCTCTGGTCGTTTCCACTGGTAACCTCACATCATGTTCTTCAAACTTGTACTCTGCTGCATGACCTGCAATGTGATCTTCTTCTGATATTTCACTCTCTCCTTTTCTGTCAGCCCTTTTCTCTTGCTTCATTTCTTGCTCCTCTTGAAGAATCACAGGGCTTTTCTTTGGCATCACCACCGAAAGAATGCTCTCCATCATGTTGCCATGAATTGCATCGTCGTTGCAATATGATGGGATTTCGAACTCCTTCTTGAACCGTTTCCATCTGTTTCCTTCCAAAGGACGCTCCCCACTTATCACCAGTAAACCAACATGGTTTATATGAATTCGTATTTGGTCTTTCTTAAAACCTGAAAACAAATTGAATGAATAGACTTAATTCCGCTTTAATCTTTCAATTATCATAATGGAGTGATTTTAGTTTCTTCATTGAAATTTTCTTGTCTTCCATACATGTTAAAGAACAGATGTGTAATAAAATTGAAATATTTGAAGGATCCAATTTGCTCAATTCAAATTTAAAGACCAAACAACAGTAATTATTTATGAAATAAATAGTTTTTAAAATAACTTGAATGCTAGTCAAATAAACATTGCATTGCATAGATTCAACAAAAAAATGCTTTATATGAAGAGATGGAGGTATTTAGTTGCATATGACAATCTTGATAATTGGGATGGAACATGCCTGGAAGATGAAGTTCAAGGGTGTCACGACCCTCTTCTCTGCGCCACATAAACAAAGGATCAAAATCTTCATAAGACCTATTGGCATGTGCATGCTTGGGAATTTCCATCAATTCCAGAAGTTTGGTGTGTGAGTTGGTTTTAGGTTGAAGAGGACCCAATTAATATAGTTTGTTTTAGACATAAAACACGAAGAGGAGAAGAGGCTTGTAAGGTAAAAAGGGCTTCAAAGGTTGCCTTTTGAGTTGGTGTTGAGCTAGAATTATCCCTTGTTAACCTTCTCAAGTCTCGTCACCACGAGGTTTAGTAACTTCAAGGGTTTATATTTTTAGATATACACTCTTTTTCCTTAATTCGTGTTGTTCCATTCGTGATAACAAAACATGCAAATGCTGTAGGAGCAAGCAAACCGTGATGAAATGAGGACGCAACAAGTTTTAATGAAGTTTTACGTGTTTTATGAACAATTTAATATATATTTTTTGAAATAGAATAAAACATACTTAAAACAAAGTAAGTAAATTGTAATGTAATTTGAATATGAAGTTAAATGTAATGTATCATTATTATATTCATTCCTATATATACCCAACCAACATATATAATGGAACATAATAATTGTAGTAAGATGATATTGTTTGAGAAAAAGGGAGGGCTTTTAAATCCACCGCAACACTTGCCATTTCTTCATCCATATTAAATCAACGTTATAAAATTATAATTTTCAATGTACCAAGAATTTTAACGGGTTATGATTACTCCGGATAACAAATGTCCATAACGGGGTTTTATGAATTTTCGATTAAGTTAACGAACTGCAGTTAAGCTTTATATTATCTTTATTTCTCTTGATAATTTCACTTTCCCTTTTTCGTACCTTGTTATTTTTACTTTCCTCGCAACCATAGTCTTTTCGCCATTTCATCTTCCTCTTTGGTTTATCCCATAATCCACCGTTGATTTAGTTTATCTTACCTTACAAATAATTAAAATTAATAGTCAAATATAATCTATATTTTAAAATAGAAAATGAATTTTTACTTAATCTGATTACTTAAAATAGAAAATATATTTTAAAAGAAAAATTATATAAATATAATCTCTATTAATTTATTTATCCAAGTAGATATTTTTACTATTTATATACAGTTTTTATTCTCTCAACAGTACTAACAATTTTAAAATTTTAATTGTGCTGCCAACTTATTTTTATTCTTTATTTTTCATAATGTACTATATACTAGAAGATGGAGAGTATGAATGTGACTTTTTCACATTATTTAAATTACAAAGAAATTAGATTATGTGATTGTATATGTTTACTGTATGTTAATTGTTTAAGTTTGAATCTGAGTGATAATTAGGTTCTATAAGATTGAAAATGAGAGTGATTTGCATTGTTTTAGTTTACATAAATTTAATTTGATGAATTGGTTTTTAATTTAGATGATAGTATTTGGATTCAATTTAATTAAGAGATTTAAAAATGAAGTATATGTAACAGATGATGCAGTTTGGTATTGTGATGAATTTACCTAAAGAATTTAATTTCGCTTAGTAAATTTAAGGTAGTATTGCAAATGCTTATATTCTACTCATCACTTTTAAATCTGTCCAATAAATTTAAAGAATGATGAGAGTTCAATTTAATAAAAATTTTGTCCAACAAAATGTCACTTTGCTCAATAAAATTTGAAAAGAAACAAACATTGAAATGTCTACATAATTCGCATAACCTTTTAAATTTTGCTCATTATATTTTAAATTTGTTCAGCGTTTTTAATTTTTGCTAAATCATTTTCGAAAAAAAAATTAATTAAAAAATGTTCTTAAGACTATAAGGACTTTAAAATGTATCTTTAATTGAATGAAATCAATTGTTATATATATATATATATATATATATATATATATATATATATTTACCTGTGAATATTTATACCAATTTTTATTATCATATAATTAGCTCAGGAATATTAAATTTTCACAAAAAATTATGTGAAAAAATTCACAGGTATCTTTTTTTTTTTTGCAAATTTATATCCGCATTTAATTTTTTATAATTTAAATTTATATATAATTTGTTGGTAATTTTATATTCACAGAAAATTTCTTATCAATCTTATATTCCCAGGTAATTTTTTGTGAAATTATTTTTTTATGAAAATTCATAGGAAATTTTGTATAATGTTAAAATTATATATATATATATATATATATATATATATATATATATATATATATATATATATATATATCGGTTAGTTATAGCCAAACATTCCATTCCCTTCAATGTATCAAAATCAAGTAGATAAATCATCCACCCCAACACTCTTTTAATCTCTCCACGAAGTAGATGTATGCCTATTTGTGTTGTCCTCATGTTTAATATCTTTCCACCCACTATTGCTTTAACATTAAACAAGATCCCATCATTACTCATTTAGTTAACAACACTTCATTAAACATCTTTCACTCTTAAGTCTCTTATCTTCCTTGGATAACATATATCTTTTCACACTAATACAAAATAGGAAAAAACATTATATTCTTAATTATGATTATATGTGAATAATAGTTAAAAAAAAACATAGTAATCATTTTAAAATTAATTTTGACCTTTTAACGATAGTTAGTTCATTATCGTTATCATATGTAATATATGACAACAATTCATTCTATAATCATTATTGTATATGATATACAATGACGGTTATAAAATGAACCATAGTCATTTATTCAAAATAATAACATTTTACACGATAACTCTTTTATAACAATTATCATATGTTAGATATGACAATAATTATACAATAAATTATTATTCTTTTTTTACTCCCTTGTTTTTCTTTGTAAAGTGTTTCACTCCATCCTAACTCTCTTTTTTTCTCCCTCTTCCTAGCATGACAATGAAAGACAAGATTTTAGTGAAAAGATGATTTAAATACTATAAAGAAGCTTTTGTTAAATGATTCGAAGGTGGAAGAGGAGTTGAATAATGTTTTATTAGAGACATTGACATTATTTACTATAAATAATTAAGTGATTGATAGAGGTTTATTTGTACCAATGTTAATAGGCCGTTACAAAATTTTTATTATGTGAAAAAAAAAAAATTTAACTACTACAATGGAATTTATTTTTTGAATGTGATTTATTTTTATAATTTAAAAATTGATATAGGGTCATGGAAAGAGAAAGATAAATATAAAAGCTTATACAAGAAAGATTTCCTCATTTAGAATCTCATTCCTTTGAAGCATCTTATATGGCACGTAAAATCATATTTACTCCAAAAGATGTTAACAAACTACATGATGTATGATATGACTATCAATGACTTTATATAAAAAAAATATAATTTATTGAAGGAGAGGCACCCAACTTATACTAATAAGATTACTTGCTCCAGTGCAATACTTGCCTCTACATGTTTTAAAGGTTAAGAAAGATATATTATTAGTGTTGTTGCAAAATATTAACCCTAAATCTTTCTTGCCTAAAATTAAATATAAAAAAAAAACTAAAGAGGAAGACATTCCTTTGTGTTTCTTTAAAAGAAATTTTCACATAAATAAGTTTTGCATTAACCATTAATAAATCCTAGGAACAAACTATATCCAACATTGAAATTTACTTTATAAAATATGGTTTTAGTTATGATAATTTATGCAATTTTACATTTTCATTCTTAGGAGAGACAATTGGAAGAATAATCATTAAATGACATTAATTAAACCAATTGTCAATAAAATAATAAAAGTACTTAAAATTTAAAATGAGATTTGATTTAAGTGATACTGTAGGTTCATCATCTACGTATCTATTATAAGATAGGTTCCAATGAAAAATGTCAATTACGATAAAAATGATAATTTTTTTAAAATAAATATAATATGTTGTTTTGAAATATTTTAGTTGTATAAATGTACATATATTGAATATATTCTAAACAATTGTCACAATAACCAAGTTTGAACAAAACAAAATATTTAATTTTTTCAAGTTAAATATTATTCAATTAGTTATTATATATTATATGATATATATTTTAAATATTATATATATATATATATATAATATAGTTAAAAGTAATATAAATATTAAATTTAAATCATCATAATAAAATAAAAGATTAAAAAACACATACGCAAACGACACTTTTATTGTTGTTAGTAAATTATAAATCAAACAATTAACGTAAAAGTTAATGTATATGATTGTTATATCATTATTAAAAATAACAGCTAGATTATATATATTCATCATTTTGAACATATTTATGTATTTAAAATTTCGAAGTTCTCATTACAAAGATTAAAAAAAGATAGAATGTATGAGTGTTTCATTTTTAATCACCAAAGAAGTAAATATGATTAAAAATAGCAGCGAAGGAAATAATACATCATAAAGATTAAAACGATGTAGAAAAAAACAGATAGCATGGAGACAAAACATGAATGATGATGAAACAGAAGTTGTAAAATCTATTGGGTACATCTTCCATTGTCAGAAGTATGTGTTGATGAAATTATAAGATAAGATAGATTGACTTATATAATTTTTATTTTTTAAAAAGTTTAAATTAATAAATCATATATAAATTTTTATATTGTTTTGTCTAATTTATATTATTTTTATTTAAGTTCATTGTTCAATTCATTTAATATTTCGTTATTTATTAATTTTAGATCAATATTAATAATTATTTTTTAATTTAATTTAAAAGTAATTATAATCAAAGAAGATTTTTATATAAGAAGATAAATCTCAACTTTGATTATTTGAAATAAATATAATTAATAAAAATTATAAATTAATAACTAAATTCAAAAAAAGAAATTAATATTTAATTGATATTTATAATAATTAATTTTTTATCTTAAAAAAAATAATTATTATATTTTATTTTAATTTTTATAAATTAAAAGTCTAAAAAATCACAAAATGTATTGATTATATAATTTATCAACTGATAATTAAGTTTTAAAAATGTTTTAACATGATTTTCACTATATATATATATATATATATATATATATATATATATATATATATATATATATGTACATATTATTATTTTAAAAAATTTTAAATGATAAACTTTTAAGTTATTTTATATTACTCTTAATATAATTTATTAATATTTGAGACTGAATTTAATTTCATGACTATTGAAAATGCAAACCAATAAGATAAAAAAGAAGTGGTGATACTTGTTGATCATGCAAATTGAATCGGGGAAATTTGGGGTTCAAGAGAAAAAAAAAGGGTTTTAAGGTGTACCAAGTTTCAATTTTGGGCAATAAAGAAAACATATATAAGTGAACATATTAATAGTTTCAAGGTTTTAACTTATAGAATTTGAGAATTAGAAGAGATGATACATTCATTGATGAATAGTTGGTGCACACGTGATAAAATCTTGTGGTTCATCTTCCAATAATTTATAGAATAAAGTGTCACAATAAAAAAAAAAAAAAGAGATGTAAGAAAATAATTGAAAATTTGTTGAATAATGTACTCAAAATGTGTGGTGATTTGACATTCAAAATGTTTAAAACCATCTTCCTCAAAAATTCGACCCAAAACAAATGGTTAGATACAACAACATATTCCTAAATATTGTGGATGTAAATATGGATGAAGAGAGGAAAGATTAAGACCAATTTTTTCCCCCCAAAATCTCCCACTTTTCATGTTGTTTTCAATCACATTTTCTTGAATTGATTTGTCTTCTTAGTCACGTTGAATCTTGTGGCCATGTCTGAAGAGCCTTCATCCACTTCGGTGTCCGTCGCAGATGGACAATCCAAGAGTGCCAAGAAACCCAAATGTAAATTTTTCCTCTTTACTTCAATTTATTTATTTATTTAGCTTTGGAAATTTAGGTGAACTTCATTATGAAATGTCCTTGCCTAAAAATGAGGCATTTCCTGGTATTTATATAGTTTTTAAATGTAAATTCCAAGGGTTTGATCATTATATAGTTTTAAAATGGAAGTTTTGCTTTGAACAGGTAAGCCTTCGATTGGTTGATTTAGGTTTTTGAAAAATGTTTGGATCCCATTATCCACATGAAATTGTCTACTATCATGGTTGATTGATTGTACTGTCATACAAAAATGTGTTCCCTGTATAGATCTATATAATGATATGGTGGTGATTATACGTTGAATTCTATTGATTTCTCTTTCTAGAATGGTTAAAAGATACATCTCTCTTTTATTTTATTTTTGTTTTGTAGTTTATGTGCATTTTATAACATATATCTAGCCATGAGACTCATGAAGTTTTTTATTTGTGGTAGATTCTAGATTCTCACAACAAGAACTTGATGCCTGGCAACCAATTCTAACCCCCAGTTGGGTACAACTTCCAACATAACTTTCTTAGATTTACAACAGAATCATAGGATGAAACTGTGTTTGTCTCTAAATTTGCTCACTAATTTTATTTTTGATTTCCAGGCCATTTCAATATTTACAGTTATAGGACTCATCTTCATTCCGGTTGGTCTTACTTCATTGTTTGCATCTGACAGTGTAAGAAATTGTCTCCATGTATATTACAGAGTAATTTTGGTACTCAAATTGAAAGTTTATTGAACTAGATCTTTTGACACAGGTGATGGAAGTTCCATTCCGATATGATGATGAATGTCTTCCACCTAATAGCAAAAATGACCCAGTGGCATATATTAAAGACGATACGCAAAACAAAACTTGCAATAAGAAATTGACAGTCAGTACAATTGCTTATCACCAATATGGTTGAAAATGAAGTTCTGCTTTTTGTTTGAGGAATTTCTTTCTCCTTGTTTGATATGATTGATATCTAGCTTAGGCTGCAACTTTGGTAAAACAATTTTCTGAAAATTTTGCAGGTTAAAACTAAAATGACGGCCCCTGTTTATGTATATTATCAGCTTGATAACTTTTACCAAAACCATCGACGGTAAGCGCAATTAACCAGCAATTTTTTCCCTTTATTCTTTTGCATCAATGCATTTGTTTTGGCATCCTTTTCAGTTGAATGCCCTCTTCATTAGATTGAGACATCTTCAATCGTGTTCTTAAATTTAGATCAACCTCACTTACTATGAAAAGATACCTTAGCTCTATATTTTATCTTATGGTTTTTGTGTCATGTCCCTCCCCTTCTACAAATCAGCATTAAACACATCTATCTAGAGAATATCTTGGTTTTCCTTGACTTTGTTTTGTGCTTTACTCATCTTGTTTAAACTCATTCAATATATATGAGATAGAAAAACAATTCATTTTATGATGAATGTTGAGATGATCCTCCTTACTTGGGTTTTGTATGATATTTTCAGATACGTTAAAAGTAGAGATGATAGACAGCTAAGGAGAAAAGGATCGGACAATGATGTTAGCACGTGCAGTCCTGAAGACTATACACCTAAAGAATTGGGTCATAATCCAATTGTTCCTTGTGGCCTTATTGCATGGAGCATGTTTAATGACACATACAAACTTTCAAGCAAAAATAAGGAGTTGGCGATCAACAAAAAGAATATAGCATGGAAGAGTGACCGAGATGCGAAATTTGGGTCTGATGTTTATCCAAAGAATTTTCAAGTGGGAGGTTTGATAGGGGGTGCTAGACTTAATGAGAGCATACCAGTGAGTATATATATCTTTGTATTCATGTTCACCTTTTGTCAGAAAATTAGGCTTGTTTATTTCTATCATCATTTCTTGTTTTCATTTTCCATTTTCACTTTGAATTTACAAAATGGTTGCCTCATTCACAAATTGTTTCCTGTTTTTAAATATTTGTAGAGGAAACAGGAAAAAAAAAGTTATTTTCAATGTTTCCTTTAACAGATATTGGAAACAGTAAACAAATTAATAATAAGGTGGTATAATTTTGTAAATCAAAAGTGAAAAACAAAAACTGAAACAAAAATAAACAGTGTCTTGATTCTTGTACTTTTTTGTATTTTGAGAATTGAATCTTTGTCAACATGTGGCATGTACCAGTTGAGTGAACAAGAGGATCTCATTGTTTGGATGCGAACAGCAGCACTACCTACTTTCAAAAAACTATATGGAAAGATTGAGACAGACATTGAAGATAATGAAGAAATAATGCTTGTAATAGAGAACAATTATAATACATATGAGTTTGGAGCTAGAAAGAGCCTGGTTCTTTCAACCACAACATGGGTTGGTGGAAGAAACCACTTCTTGGGGATGGCATATATGCTCGTTGGTGGGATTTCCTTGGTACTGGCTGTAGGTTTCCTACTTATGTATGTGATGCATCCAAGGTGAGGAAGTACTACATATTCTCCTTCTATACTTCATAGTTCTCTTAATTTTATGGGTAAATAATACACCATGACTTAAGAATATATCATCAATTTGCTTTCTAAAGTATCACTCCCTCTCATAAACACTCGTCCAAGTAATGTAATTATGCAAGTATCCCTAAATTATCGAATGTTCATCAGTTTAGTCTCGTGTTGATATATTTTACTAAATACACTAATTTGAGGAAGTTCCAGAGGGATTATACATAGATTGAGTTCTTAAACTTCTAGTTACTTGAAACAATTTTCTATTTAAAAACATCAATTTTATACGACAAGATAAGTTGTTTATTTTTTTTATCTTGGATTGTTTAAGCAAAATTTGACAATTAAGCGAAATAGATAATGACATTTTTATGTTGTTGTACATGCAGACCTCTTGGGGATCCATCATACTTGTCTTGGAACAAAAATCCCGGAATTCTTAGATGATTGAGTTGTTTAAGAATTCATCACTGTTCATATCTCAGGAAAAGGATGTGTCATAGGGCTAGGCTTGTATTTGGAAATGAGTTCTCAACATTTACTCTCCATATTGTTGTTGTAGAATTTCCTCCCTATTATTGTGAGGATTACTTGGATTATATTTGTTAACTGTTTTAATGTTTTCTCTAAAACTTGTTCATCACAATATAAATTACATCGATTGATTATTATTTTAGATTCTATTTTTCTGTTTTTTGTTTAAAATAGTTATTTTTTGGTCAAATAAGGAACTTGAACCGAAACGTCAAAAGAATAAAGCATTAACATTCAAAGGCAATCTCAAATCCTAGAGTAATACATGTTTAACATTTTTATACCAAAAGAGAGTAATAAATTTAACATTTTTATATTTAAAGAGAATAATACATCTAACATTTTTATATCTAATCAAATAGCTTTATGTCTCCAAGTGTTATACAGGATGCTGAAAAACACTAGAGAATCATCAAACTACTTTTCCTTTGAAAATGAATTTTTCACATAATACTTAAATCTTTATAATAATGAAAATAAAGAGATTGTTTGATTAATATTTTTAATATTAATTTTAAAATTTTTAATTTTTTAAACAATAAAAAGCTTGTTTGTTATGCTCTGTTAAACCAGTTTTTGAAAATTATGTTTATTTTTTAAATTTTAAAAACTAAAAAATTAGAATTAATAATAGGTGATTTTTTTATTAATAAGTATAATAGTTTTGTCAATAATCACATTAAATAATTTATTTTTATTATTATAAAGTTTTTAAAATTATTTTTTAATTTTCGTAGTAATTGATATCATTTGTTTTTCTTTTTGTCTAAAATAGTTTTAAGAAATAAAGTTATCGATTTTTTTTCAATTTATTTTAAAAAATAATTTTTAAAAATTAATCTTTAAAACTATTTTTGAAAATTAAAAGACAAAACTAAATCATACAAACCTAAAATATTGTTGGCATTGGGTACAAATTTATATTTTTACGTGTTTTTATAATTAGCTTATATACAAGCTTGAAAGTAGGTTTACTCACGTTGTGCCGTTAAACTTCGACATTTCTTATGAATAAATTTCTCTTTATATTGAGAGAGATATATAATACACTCATAAATCCAATAAATGTGTGTTACTTTTACAAAGATAAAGTGCCATAAATTATGTAATAAAATAATTCAAAGTTCGTGGTAGAAGATTTTTTTTTTTTTTTTCACTAACGTAGACTATAATAAAAGTTTTCTATTTGCTGGTAGTTTAGATTTGCTTCTGTAAAATGGAATGTAATATACTTAATAATCATTTGGACATTAATTACAAATAAAATAATATTATATTTAAGTATTTAATAAATAATTTAAATAAATAACTAGCCTAAAAATTAAGTAAAGTCTTGGTCTAGCCATAATTAACGTGAAAGAATCTTAACAATCTCACGTCATCAATATCATTTCAAACAAAGTTTTAAAAGATCTTAATTTTATTGAAACGAGATACATATTACAATTAAAACTAATATTACATAATAGAAGAAGAGGAAAAATGAAAGTTTAAATAGATAAAATCACTAAATAGTGATGGAATGTGAAACAACAAGCTGTCAATATCAGGAGCATTAGAATGAGTCATTTTGGGAGAAAGAAAAAGTTTTATGAGGAGAAGATGAGATTTGAGAGTTAAAAGGTCTTTTTAAGTAGAATTTTATTTAATAGAGGTAAATTCACCGTTTTTACTTATTTTGAATATTGATAAAAATATTTCCAAAAACCCCTGTTTTGTATTGAATATGATAGCACAATATATACATGAAATACAGAAACATTCTAGGCTATAATTACGCTAACCATTATAGTCGGTATCCTAAATTTGTCTATTAACGGATATAACATTAATGTGCATCACTGTGCATCATTGTCATGCCAAGCTAAATATGGAAAAAATTAATCATGTAGAATCATGGCATGATACTGGTATTTGTAATCGTATATTCTATGTTTATCACCCTCCCTCAAGATGGAGTATGAAGGTTGTGAATGCCCAACTTGCCTAAAAAAGAACCAAATTTAGTGGCGCCAAGAGATTTGGTGAAGAGATCAGCCAGTTGATGATGAGTGGACACATAGGAGGGTTGGATATGATTGTGTTGTATTTCATCACGAATAAGATGACAATCCACTTCAATATGTTTTGTCCGTTCATGAAACACGGGATTCTTGGCAATGTGAAGGGCAGCTTGGTTGTCACGATAGAGAGTCATAGGGTCGGTGTGAGTAATGCCTAGGCTCGAAAGAAGACCTTGAAGCCATTTCAACTCACATGTCTTGTTGGCCATAGAACGATATTCCGCCTCGGCGGATGATCGAGAAACCGTATGTTGCTTCTTGGTTTTCCAGGAAACGGGAGATTGACCAAGGAAAATAAACCAACCTAGGTGAGAGATCTTCGAGTTAGAGGACAACTTGCCCGATCCGAGTCACACCAACCATAAAGACGAAGGTCACTCTCTCTTTTTAAAAGCACACCCCGACTCGGGCTGCCCTTTAAATAGCGTACCACGCGGAGTGCAGCCCGCCAATGCTCCCGACGCGGTTGGTGCATGAATTGAGATAGGACATGAACACCGTAAGATAATTCAGGTCGTGTAAAACACAAGTAAATAAGGCGACCGACGAGACGTCGATATTGACTCGGGTCGGAAAGTAGTTCGCCATCGGCCAATGCTAAACGATGATTTTCTTCGATTGGCGTGGACACGGGTTTCCCTCCAAGCAATCCTGCTCAGCTATGATGTCCAACGCATACTTTCGTTGACACAAGAAAATTCTGTAGGAGATCCGTCAACCTCCACCCCAAGAAAGTATTTTAATTTCCCTAAGTCCTTCATACGAAAACATTGATGAAGATAATCTTTGAATTGCGCAATGTCTTCATGATGATTGCCAGCAATGACTAGGTCATCCACGTAAACTAACACAACCGGTTCGACATCTCCTTTGCGAAAGATGAACAAGGAGTGATCAGACGAAGAACGTTGAAACCCATATTGAACAAGAGCAGGTTGAGAGCTTGGCAAACCAACACCGAGGAGCTTGACGAAGACCATAAAGGGACTTGCGGAGACGACACACCATACCCTTTTGAGACACCAAGAACCCTGGCGGCATTTTCATGTACACATCTTCCTCAAGATCGCCGTGCGGAAAAGCATTATGGACATCCATTTGATGAAGTTCCCAGTCTTTGGCTACGCCACTGCCAACACCTGTCCGAATGGTGACCATCTTTGCCACTGGGCAAAAGTCTCGTCATAGTCAATCCCCTCAACTTGGTGATTTCCCAAGACAACTAATCGGGCTTTGAAGCGTTCAACGCTCCCATCGAATGATATTTGATTTTATAAATCCACTTGCAACCCGGAGGCTTCTTCCCTGCGGTAGAGGAGTAATGTCCCATGTTTCATTACTTTGGAGGGCTCGAATTTCACTAGCCATGGCATCTCTCCATCTAACATCCCGAACAGCTTCAAAGAAATGCACGGGTTCTCTCTCGCATGAAGGGTCGCAAGAAAGGTTCGGTGGGGAAGGAGAATTTAGCACAATTTAAGTACTTTGTCAAACCGTAAGGCATACCCGAGGAAGCTGAATGTGGAGTGCGAATTGAGGGACCGAGTTGTAAAGTGGTGTTAGTGACATAATCACGAAGCTTCACGGATGGCTTTCGTACACGAAGACCTTTCCCCGGGGATGCGGGGACGAGTATGCTCCTCGGGAACCTCTAGTTCTGTCATCATAGAGTCGGTTTGTTCCGGTGGGAGAACGATCTGGGTGGGAGGCTCTTGTTCATGGCATTCGGCCGTGGCCCTCCCCGAACTCGGTTGTGGGCACATCTTCCGTTGTGGGGTTAACGTCATCGGTCTCCACAACGTGTTCCGCATTGTTCATTGCACCAAGTCCAGGCAATGCTTCCTCGACAATGCCAACATCAACGAGTAGGCAATCCTACCTCCGAATGTCTACTGTGGGCAAGAGAGGCAAACGGGAATTCATGTTCTACAAACTTAACATCTCTCGAAGTCCGGAAGACTTCTCTTTCCAGATCAAACAATTTCCGACCCTTTTTTCGATTGAATATCCAACAAATACATTCTTGCGACTTCTACTTGCAAATTTGTCACCTTTCCTATCTTGGTTATGTGCATAACACAAGCATCCAAATACCCGTAGATGGTCATAAGTGGGTGGCTTCCCATTCAATATTTCATATGGAGTTTTTCCATGGAGAACGGTTGAGGGTGTACGATTGATCAAGTATCCTGCGGTCAAAATGCATTCTCCCGGAATTGAAGTGGAAGTTCTCCCCGAAATCGTAGAGCACGAGCTACATTTAGGATGTGTCGATGTTTTCGTTCGACTGTCCCATTTTGCTGAGGTGTTCCAAGTGCATGAGGTTTGATGGAGTATCCCATGTTGCTGAAAATATCGTTGAAGACACATAAACTCGGTTCCATTGTCACTTCGTAATATTTTGACTTGTTTCTCGTATTGTCGTTCTATTAAGGCGATGAAATGCATTAAGGTTTGTGACACATCTTTCTTATTATTCAAGAGATATATCCACACAGCTCGAGAACAGTCATCAACCAAAGTGAGAAAGTAAGATGCACCACAAGACGAGGGAGTTCTATATGGACCCCATACATCACAATGTATTAAATCAAATATATTGGATGCTTGAAAATCACTTAAAGGAAATGTGTTTCTGCATTGCTTTGATCTCTCACACACTTCACACACACGAGTTGTATCCGTATTTCTATTCACGCTGTTCGGATGCGGAATTTTTCTAACAATCCGGTAGGCGGGATGTCCCATTCGCTTGTGCCAAATCTCTAGTTGATTTTCTCGCATTGGTCCGATACGCCTTTATGCCACTCACACCACGATACCAATAGAGTCCCTCTTTTCGTTCACCCG